AGTAACCATTAAGACTAGGAAAAAGAAGGAGGCACTAATGAGGGAGACAAAAAAATCTTTGCAGATTCAAAATGAGGAGACTGAAATACTGTTAATAGACCAGAAAAAAATTGGAAGAAAATAAGAATTTGTCCTCTAGGGCAACAGACACTGAGAAAGGCACTAGATCATGTCTATGTGTGTCGGGGGATACTATTTAATTCAAAGAATGGTTCACTCAATAGTATTTTATTGGGATGGCAGAGTCAATTCATTACCAAAAGTTGGGTTAATTGCATCTGCCCTCAACTGATCAACTTGGGCACAAAATAGCTTCCTAGTTTGACACGTTCCATGACTGACAGGAGAGAATGAGGTAGCATTTGAGACTGGAAACAAAAAGGTTAAAGAAATTATCCCAAACATCTTCTCTATGGTATTCACTAATCAACTGCAAGGTCTCCTAATGCAAAATTCTGTTGTGGTGTATGTGGCTTGCATCTAGTTATTGTTTTCTTATTTTGAGAATCAAATTACACATTTATGTCTAGGGAAGAAAGGTAATGCGAAGGCCAAGCGAGCAAAGGGGATTTTGCAACACGGCCTTGGGTGAGAGGAAGAGTCTCACAATAGGAACACTTTATTCTCCTATAGGGACAGTGCCCTGTGTGTGGGAATGACACTCAGAGCAGGACAGCATGTTCTGGTGTGACTGAAACAGGGGTGCCTTGGGGCTGCGAACAAGCTTTTGGTAACTAGCACAGCATGTGTAAAATGGGTGTTACACTAACATGGTATAAGGTTGGAAGAATTCAATAAAAACCTAACTAGAAATATATATATATATATTTTGCAATTTCGGGCCAGGGCTGGGTTTGAACCCACCACCTCTGGCATATGGGGTCGGCGCCTTACTCTTTTGAGCCACAGGTGCTGCCCTAAATATTTTGACAGTGTATGAGGCATGTAGAAGGCACATGAAAAATATTATCTGTATTCTGTCTTACTCATCTGTGGTTTGCAAGTCACTGTGCTTCTCTGAGAGACCTCGAGGACAATAGTCAGAAATTGAGTCCTAAAATAATAAAGGAACATTTGAATGAAGGGCAGATGAAGGGGTGGGGGGAGGGCAAAGAGGAAGGACTTCTCCTGCATTACACCTACAACAAAACAAAATTAATTCATGAGCATCTCAAACCCGCTGAGGAAGGAAAATCCTGAAAATCTTCTAGTTGGCAAGGGGTAAAAACTAGAAATTAATTATATGATACTATCTCACTGGTCTAGAATTCTGACATTCTTAAACTCCCCTAAAGATTTACCTTTACTACATAGTAAAAAATAAAAAAATAAAAAAATAAATAAATAAAAGATTTACCTTTACTAAATATGATTATTTATTTAAAGTGTCATGACAGCTATTATTGAATGTACCGCCTTTATTATCTTATCTCAGTAATTAAAGGAGACTTTCCTGTGTTTACTCATGGTTTCAACCCCCCCCAGTCCTATTTTACTTTATGCCATTTTAAGTTTCTCAAGTGGTAACTTTCTCACATAGGTTTCAGACATAAACCATAACTTAGAAGCTGGCTGCTTTGTAGGAATGTGAAGCTTCCATTTTGGTTTCTAGGCCCTTACTGGAAATTCACCTTCCTAACTGGAAAGTAAGGTTGCCAGATGAAATGCAGCATACCCACTCAAAGGTGAATTTCAGCCAAGAACAGTTTTCAGTATAAGTGTGCCCCCAATTTTGCTCGGCACATACGTTTACTAAAAAGTTATTCATTGTTTTAGCTAAAATTCAAATTTAACTGGGAGTCTAATATTGTTATTTGCTATGGCTGGCAACCTTCACACTGTACTTTCCTAGATAATAGGAAGTGGGAAAAGGAAGGCAGTGAAAAGACTGAAAGAAAATAAGGCTTTGACGTGAGAACCACTTTCTCACTCGTGTTATCATCTCAGCAACAAGACAAACTATGAATCCTATATGTTGTCCGTTAATGTACATAGCTGTAAGAGCCCAAGGAACTTAGAGAGTACCTTGATCTGGAATCGTATTTCTCAACTCAAACAGGTTTGCTGTCTCTGCTACATTTTATAACTGATCATTTTTAAGATCTGCTAAAAAAGAACTCACCATGCTATCCCTTGATGTAAAAGGGAAAAGATGCAGGTAGACCACTGAGATTTATGAGATTCACATTCTCATCACAACTTCCTAAATCTTCTTATGAAAGAAATCGCTATAAAGTCTTCAGGAAAGTATGCCAAATTAATCTTTCATTTCCTCTGAGTGGATTTCCTGTGTTCTGTGTAGTATGACAAGTTTCACTATTCTAGAATTCTGACATCTTTAAACTTCCTTAAAGATTTGCCTTTACCAAATATGTTATATCATCAAGAATTTCAAAGAGAAATTTCAATGCCCTCTAACCTTTTACTTCTCAACTTACAAATTGAACTTGTTTCCTGGGCTCTGTGGAAGTGATAAACAGGAGATTTTTTTTATAAGTTGAAATCTAAAACCAAGTCCCCCCGACAATCTGATGGTGACTTGCGACATGACACTCCCAAAAGAATAGAAGGAGCATAAGTTGTTTAAAATTGTGCTTCATCAAAAAGAGAAAATCGTTTTCTAAATATAACAGCACATATTATACACTGAATTTCAATAATAACATTTTAGCTTGAATCCTTAATCATGTGTAATCACTTAACCTAGGCAAAGATCCAAGGATTAACAAGAAAAAATATGAAAATCAAGACTTCAGAGATATTTTCAGTTCCACTGTCAAGACCACATGAGACAAACAGTCTATGAGCACCCTAACCCATCTGTATCCTGTTCCACCTGCATATCCGTTACCACCGAGCAGAGAATAGGCCCCGGAATAAACACTCGACTAAATGTCCCAGTGATTTCGATCACTTCTATTTCAAAATGTTTTATGACCAGCACAACTTTCAATGAGGGTTATTTTCTGATGGACTGAGAAATCTAAGGACAGCCTTCTGACCCCAGTTACAAGTGCATTTCATGTATTATCATTCTGGTGAGGCAGATAAAAACTGTTTTTAATATTTCTATAATTTTAACATTTCAGAGTGAATGCTTTTCTAAGTAAGGCCATTACATGAAAAAAGACATCTTTCACATTTTTAATGCATCTTCAGGCTGGTTTCCTGTTATTCCTTAATTCACTTTACTCACAGCACATATACATCCAAAAATTATGGGTAGTTTATATCAAATACAAAATCTATATGAGGCTTTCACTCTCTCCAACCGTGCTCCAGGATGTGTTACCGGACAAGCAGATATGCATGAGGATAAATTTTACAAGACAGTCAGCACTAATAAAGTAGTTTTCTCCAAGAGCATTGCAAAAAGGCAAACACATACTTTGCATTTCAGAACATAGCTGTCTTGAGGCCACATAGTAGGAAGGTCCAGGTTGATGGATATTAGCAACTTTAAATCTATAAATCCTGGATTAAACAACCTAAAAGAACTTTGGAGAAATAACAGAGCATCCAGAGAGTAGACTGGATTGAAGGTAGGAGTCTCTTCTTGAGGGTCTAACTGGGCACTTCCCATCTCCCCGCTCTTTATTTTTTTTAATCTCATAGAGACACCTTAGCAAAGCTATCAGCTTTGACAGAACACCGAAATCCTGGCAGTGAACCATGAATTGACCATTACCATAAAAAGAGCTGCTAAATGAGAAACCATGTGCTCAGTATAAACCTAATTTCATGCTTTCAAAAGCACACAGTGGCTTCTAGCAAGATAGTGGCCCTGGGACTTGCTGAGACAGATTGGCGAACACAAATGGTTTGCCCCTAATGCGTCTGCTTAGCCAAGCTTTACGGACTGGCAGTGAACGGGGTTCTCGAGTCTTCTGTCAAACAAATACACACTTATCTATAACTTCAAAGCTGTAAAACAGCTGCCTCAAATACATTTAGTAGGAAACACACACACACACACACACACACACATGCACATATACACATACTATGTACCATGTTAGCTGTTCCTTGTCAAATAAAAACCGATTTCTCTGCAGATCTACCATGCTAACCACACTTAACAGCACTCTGTCATCTGAATACATTACGACTTGCACACTCCTTTCTTGTTTAGAAACAGCTTCTCATCATGCAGGGACCTTAGCCGAGCCTAAGCAATAGGATTCCTTCCACTTGGAGGTTAACTTTGAGCTTTACCTTATCTAGGTGGTTTCCAAATACTCTGTACTCACAATGCAGCACCAGACCTTTCTGAGCACGATGATCTAGGAATTGAACTCCTCAAGTGACTGCCAGTACATTATTTACATCTAAATTATAAAACCTGCTACGTTTAAAACATCACACTTAATTAAAACACACTTTATAAAAAATGCTGTGAATTTCCTCCTCTGTCATTCAACACACCACGGCTAGAAATCAATTACTGTCGGCTGTCCAGTGCGTGACAGGTCATAACTTTTAATTATTAATAACGTCAAGCTTAACAAGGTGTCAACTCCAGTAAGGTAATCTATTGCACTTACTTTCTTCGGTATCTTGTAAACATGACTTGTTTCCTCCTATATGTTTTTCACGTCGAAGATTCTACAAAGTACATTTAGTTTATAGCCTTTTAAATATACCTGAAGCACATAATTAATGCTGCTAATTACCTACTTTTAGTAATGATAGCAAATCGCATAATATCACTGACTTGTTCTGAACGTTTAAAATGCAAAGGAAGTCACCTACTGGTAAGATGTCCTCGGCAAACAGCTAGCACAGACAGGAAAGGATGCAGCTCACACCCATTTAAGGAGTTACTTCCCAGTAAAATTAAAGAATCATACATTTTGCTCTTGAGTTTTGCCCCTTCAGATGTGTCAGCACGATGCGATAAACACAATTGATGACTCCACAGGATTCAGCACAAGGAACGAAAGAATCTATTCCTGACATCCCAGATCCCAGCCTCCAAGTTTTAGAATAAAAATGCTCACCTCTGCTAGGAAGTCCACTCCACATCCTGGCAGGGCTCTCCCCAGGTCCGAGAGCAACCAAGTTAGATAAACAAAACTTCCAGTATGTGACCAGGGTACTGCACAGTGCTACCGAGACTTGGCTCAGCCCTGATCATCTGTGTGACAGCACCACGTTTTATCAGTGCCGCTCCAACCTTCCCAGGCGCTGGCTTATTGCACTGCTCATTGAAAATCCTTTACACGCTGGCAACATTTTAGGGTAGGACAAGCACACTCTGAGTCATTTGTAAAGAAAGCAAAGCAATTTCAATTCTATATCTCCACGCATGCTGAAGCCAGAAGCTCTGTCAACGTGCAAGTCTGAGGTGGATTTATGCCGAGGAACAGGCAACCTAAGCCTTCATTATCAATGCATGAAATCAGCCACTGTGATCAAATTCAAGCAAACCACAGAAAGGATATGATTATGAAAGGCTCCCCAGATTCAGCACCAAACCTTGTGGAAGGGAGAATCATCTATCGAAATTGTGTAAATGTTAAAAATAGCTCTTGGCTTTTCAACAATGAGCAGGATACAGAAAAGAAATCAGTGGTCTATATTATAGGGACTTTAAAAGGCTGCAAAGCCTAAAATAGCTGTAGATTCCTGGGACTTCCTATAGACAAATGGAATCACTAGAGTCTATGACAATTGTAAGAAAAATAATTTCATGTATTTGACACAGACGTCCACTAAAAAGCAAGTTAGATACCCTTTAACTCCTAAGTGTCTGTTTCTAAATTAAAGTAATGAAGATGGTAAAACTGCAGGGCTCTGCTAACACTAAGGGGGAACAGTATCAATTTTATTCTGATGATCTCTTAAACAATGAAGATTTAAATGCAGTGTGTAGCAAGAAAATAAACACACGAGATCGAGAATATTTTTAACACCATAACATCTGTTCATTATTTTTTAAAAAATCTATAGCTCATTAAGCCCCTAGACCCCTATCCCAGCCATCCCCCTATTTGTACCTCTGCTTTTTAGCACCCTTTCTCTTTTGTTACTAAAATATAAGATCCAAGAGCCAGTTGACACAGTCTTAAAAAAGCACAGGGTAGCTCTGCCCCAGAAAGCAGGAGCAACGATTCAAGGTCACAAAATGCAGACCTGTGACATGTGCATGCAGGACGTAAAACATCTATCAGAAGTCACAAAAAGAACGGGAGGAAATCCCTGGTAGGCAGCATGGACAAGAACACATTTCAGGTTCTATTCAAAAAAATGTAAAGAGTTTTAGGTTTTCGTTGAGAAGCTAGAGGCAGATCAAATCCAATAATCTCAATACAGGCAATTCCTCCTTTGAGGGTCCTCTCCAAATGATGGGCTTCCATTCCACTAGGACAACTGGCTCCTGGGTGACACAGTTAGTACTATCTACAATCGAATGTTTCTGTGTAAAAATAAACAATATGACACAAGATGCAATCTCGTAACAGCACTTTGGAGCAGCATAAACTCGGCACTCCCATGGGTGTCCCCATTACGTTCCTTTCTGTGGAGCCGACTCCTTACAGGCTGCTGGTCACACCCCCTGCCTTGGAGACAGATACAGACATAGGGGAGCGGATACACCCATGAGCATGTGTGGGCGCATCCACTCACGTATGTAGATGCAAGTGTGTCTGCACCTACCTATGGCATAGAACATGCGGGCAGGGCACTTCTGCTACCTGAAGTCTGTGTGTTTTGCATCTCATGCATACCCCAGGGCAGCATGTGATGCATTATGGGAAATGGAATTGGGCATCACTGATTCAGCAACTGTTGAGTGTTCATTTTCTCTCTCTCATACATGCTGACACACACACTCACAACCTTTCTCATCTTTGAAAACAGTTCATGAGAGATTAAATACCTACATGTTTTTTTATTATTGCCACACTTGAAACTCCCTAAGAATAAACATTCAAAGTGAAACCAGGATATTTGACTACAGTTTCTCAGTCCCTTCTCTAAAACCGGTGGTGCCTCATGCATTTCAGGATTCAAACGCTTTCAGCTTTTAGAAAGGCAATACTCTGCTTATGCCATGAATTATGTCCCGCCTCCAGTGGTGGGTATTATACAGTACCCCGGTGGGGCCTGGGGCACAATTCTAAAATATAAGACACAGTAACATTTCTGTAGCAAAACAGGAGCCTATGCACACTAGATGGGATAAATAAAGACTATAATTAACCTCATATCAGTTCAGGTCAGGTTTTTCCATTAGTACGAATTGTGAAACCTGGTTTTCAGATCTTGGATTTCAGGACTTGCCGGTAAGAGACTGTGGACCTGTAGAAACGTTCATCTCAACTGTTACAAAGTTAAGGGTTGGGAAATGGCATCTAAGCGGATTTTCTCTTGCTTGGGCAAGAGATTTAAAGGGTAGCACTGCTTTAACAAGATGGGCAAGAAACAGGAGAGAAGGTGCTCTGAAGACTGAGACTCAAAGCAGAGCAGAAATGTGGCAATAATGCAAAACGACAAAACTAGGGCATGGGCACAGAGGCAAGGAGAACCCACTCAGAGTTACTGAACCAAACAATAAGCAAAACGTACGATAACAGTACCAACCGCTCACTGTTTACTTACACTTA